AAAAAAAAAAAAGGGGGGGTCGATTACTGCTCAACTTGAGCTGATTGTTGCCATGTGGAAGTATGGGCTCTGCCTTGCCAGATGTGGTTTTCTAAAAAAGCTGGGAATGTGGATTAAAATGTTAGCTCATATTATTTTTAAATGTTGGCAACTATTCCAAAACTAAAAATACATTCAATAAGCAAAAACCAAAGCCGAGACCGCATCAGGCAGTGGGATTTGGCCCATCTGTGTCTGGCAGAGGATGGATGTAATGTGGAGGTTCTGGGGCAGGGGACCAGTCATCAGACATCACAGTGGTCCAGGCAAGAGAGGATGAGGGCTTGGAGTAAGGCAGTGAGACCAAGGCTGGAAGAGGGAGTTAATATTTACAAGGTAAGCTTGGCTGTGAGGAAGGAGACTCTGTGTAACTGGTAGTCATGGATCTGGTAACTGCATGTGTGGCAACATCAGAGTTAAAAATACACCAGTGTCATGACAAAGCCCCTAGGCAGAGGGTGTTGGTTTGGCAAGGGCCAGGTTGGAGGGTCTGATGCTGGCTGCTTCTCTCTGTCCTGTCTCAGAGGCAGACAGTGACTGGGATTACCAGGGGTCTGTCTGCCAGGAAGAGGGTGACCACTTAACATCCTCCAGGCTGCTCTGGTCATTTGCCAGGCTTGCATCCTGAGGAACCCAGGACAGAATTTCGTCCTCTCTCCCTTTAAAACCTCCAACTGCCCTGCCAAGAGCAAAGTATGTCCTATCATCTGCATGGTGGTTCTTTTATGCACTTGCTGTGCATTCCATTAACATGAACCTAATAATCAAAATGTATTATAACTTCCTCAACTTTTTATTTTGCTAGTGAATAATTCTGTGAAGAACCAGGGTCTAAAGCAGGAACTATAGGTTAAATAACATACCAGAGAAATAATACCTTAATTTGTAGAGTACTTTCTATCTTACAAAAGAGCTGTTTGAGTATATTTTAATAATGTATGGTGGCTATTTTTTTTTGTTATCATACTTATTGAGCGCTTACTGTGGGCCATTCACTGTGTTAAGCGTTTACATAAAATATATCATTTAATCCATACAGTGACCTCATGAGGTAGATGTTACTGCTTTCATTTTTTTATATGAGCAAATTGAGGCTCAGAACTGTTAAGAAATTGCCTCAGTTCACACAGTGGGCGAACCTCAAAGCTAGGACTGTGCCTCAGTCTTCTGCTCAGAGGCCAGGGCTTTTCCTCTAGGGCGCCCAGGCTAGGTATTCAGAAAAGGAGAAGGATATAATGTAAATGGCTCACTCATCCAGCATATCAACCACCAGATGACCTTTAAAAGTTAAAAGATTTCTCAGGTCCCTACCTTTAAGAAAATACAATATATGTTTAAAACATCTGCTGGTAATTATGATGCTCATTCAGATTTGGGAATCTTGGTTAAATTAAAATTGAACTACCGAACATTTAAAATAACTTATTAATAATAAATATAACAAATACATTAAAACCTTATCATCGTTACCATTTAATGAGATTCTTCCCTTAAGCCTTTCCTGGTTGGAAAAAAAAATTCCAGTCATGATCCGTTCAGCACATAGCAAAGGAAGAATTATTATAAATTATTGACTATACCTGACCCTTGTACACTAGTTACGCCCTCTCTCTAGTTTTAGTCAGAACCACTACCACTAGGTGGAGGCGATATCCCACAAGTCCTCCTTTTCTGTCTAGAAGAGTAAGCAGTGTGTGTTCTACTGGGTCTCCATAAAAGGACATCTCAAAGGCCTGCTTCTGTTAGTGCCAGGAAAGTCAGCAGGCCAAGCGTAAAGAAGCCAGACTTCTCACTGTCTGATTGTGTGATTAGAAATCACTGGGGAAGAAAAATACATTTAACATTTCTGTTGGAAATTGATCCTCAAATGCCTTAGGACTTTATTTAGAAAAGTGGAAATGTTAGGCCAATAACAACAATAAAAAAGTATAGTATGAAATAAAGGAAGTTAATAAGTATTACTGTTACTGTCAAAGAAATATATTTTCAAAATCTGAAGGGTTGAATTGAATGGTCAAACATGGCCAGGAATCTAGCAACCAAATACCACATGTCTTAGGAAAATGAAGAAATGGTTTACATCGGAAAAGCTGGCAGTTTCATATCTTACTGAAGACGAATACAGGGAACAAGCTGATGCTGAGACAACCAGTGCTCTGGAGGAGCTGCGCCAAGCCTGCCGCAGACCCGACTTCCCGTCATGGCTGGCCATCTCCAAACTACAGACGCCGAAAAAGTAAGCCTGGCCACCTACTTGGACCAAAGCTTGGGTTAGAATTATTGGGAAAATACTGTGGTGTTTTGGTACAGATATTTCAGACTAGAAACAGACTACTTCCCTAGATAACAGATGATGTGGAGGCTGTCAGAGGTTCTTCCTTTTCTTCAGTGCTCTGACTTGGACAGAGCTGCTAATGTCAGAATAAATATTGATCTGATGTGTTTTACAGGGAAGGCCATAAAGATAACTTTCATATGAGAAGGGGAAAGGTAGGTGGCACAGGATATTTCACTTGCTGCTTCTTCTACTGATGTGGGAAATAATTTCTAAAATTCACCAAGAAAGGCATCTCTGCCCCAACATCTTTTCCTTACTCCTTTCTCATCTTCATAGCTTTATTCCAGTAACAGTGCAGTCAAATTAAAGATTGAAGGGGGGAAGTATGACACTGAAATAATAAATAAATAATAAATCTAAACTAATAAGAAAGAGAAGAAAGGAATTAGGAAACAGCAGTGGGTATGTTTAGCAGCACTCAGTGTGTATAAGTCTGCCCACTTCTCCGCCCTTTCCATGAATATCTGGAGAAGGATCACATGAGCCAGATATTCATATATCCTTTTTTTGTACCCACCATGTAAATGCCATTGTCTGTTGCCACAAAGTCCAATTAAAGAGGATGCGTAGTAAGGGAACATGTTACCTTCCAAATAAACCTTTCTGTGATAACACTAACTTTATTTAAAACAAACAAAAAAACTTAATAGGTTTGCAGAATTTGTTCTTGGAGGAAGCCACTTGTCGCCTGAAGAAATTAGTCTTCATGAAGAACAGTACGGCCTTGGAGGTGTCTTCTTGGAAGAACAGCTCTTTAACCTGAGGACTTCCTGACAGTCTACCTGCAAATTGACTTCATTCTGGAAAAGGAAGTGGGTAAAGGGCAAGGAGCCTGTTGAAGTGGTTTTAGGGACCAGAGGCAAAGGCATTTGCGATGGAGAAAAATCACGTCGCACTGGAAAGGAGAACTGTACTGAAGATAACGGATCATTCTTGGCCAGTTCTGTTATTTATTGTACTGTAGGTGGCCACCAAGATTCTATGGCAGTCATTACAACTTTGCTTGAATGAAGACTTTCATTAGGAGCAAGGGAATTGTGTTGATCTTCAAGGGGCCAATAAGCATGAACAGGTGCCTTGTCACCACAAGGGCATTCAGTTCTTTTACTCGCCAGAACTTGTGTCAAAAGGCTGCATTGCCCTTCCTATATGTTATTAACAAAAGTGCTGGCAGAGACCTGAGATATGCTGGACCAATGTTTTCCAAAGCATAGTCCACAGATGCTAATAGGTGTTAGTCAGTAAAGGGATTCTGAGATCAAGTAAGATTGATACAAAGTTAAATAAAAGTACTGCAGGACTTCTCAGGACCTTTAATAACATGTACATTGTGAATCTCCTAAAGAAGAGAAATTGTGTGTAGCAGTTTCTGACTTAATTTGACCACAGAACTATTTTTTGTGAGATTAATATTCCTTGGAATACATGTTTGGAAAATGCTGATGATGGAGAAATTGAGGTTTGGGGAGGTTAAGTAACTTATCCAAGACCAAAGAGCTATTATATTTAAAGGCAGCACTGGGACTAGACCTTCAACCCTAAGTATTTCCTATGACTCAGGTAGAAGAGACCTTTAGAGATGAGCCAAGAGGTCATCTCCCTACAGCCTTCAGTCTCATAATATCGGTGACTGTATTTTTTAATAATGGCCAGCGAGCTATTTGATAACTGTGACAAAGAGAAACATTTCCTGAGATTATATTTTAAAGTTTTGATAAGACTTTTTATAGACATACATAAGAATTAGAATTGCCTTCTATATTTTTTTGTACATTGAAATTGAAACCAGTTAACCTATTGTGACATTTTGAGTTGACTGGTCCATTTTTAAAAGTTGCTTAGTTTTATATGTTTATAACAATTTCCTACAAAACAGATTTATGATCTTTTTTCCCCCCATTGAACTCTATTTAACTGTGTATGGCATTGTGATCTTATTTACAGAGAACAAATCTTTTCTTGATTCATGATGTTAAACCTCAGAGTAAAGTGAGGCACTAACTGAGCTTTGACCCTGAAGAAAGGCCTAAACATAGGTCTGAGAAAAGAACTCAACATGGCAAAGCAATCCAAGGGTTAAGATGGTGCTAAATTGATTCTCTTTAAGAATCAAACTCAGGCTTTTTTTTTGCTATGACGGGATCATAAAGAATAGAGGCATAAAGAATGAGGAATCCCAAGAATGGTTATGGAGGTAGAATGTGTTTAGAATTTAGGCACTGCTTTTCCTGAGCCAAATTTAGTAGACTTGTTCTAAACTGTTGAATAAGACCATGGCTACCCATTTAGAACTTTCTAGATTGATTTTCAAATGCTATTTCTTCTTTAAGCAGTGTGTCAGTGTTTTACGGGTCTCTGTTTTTACCAGATACCTTTTCCTGTTAGGAGCTTTGCTATTTTTGTGAAATGCACTAAACTCAATCTGTGCTTTCACGTAGACTCTGATTTTAAAAATCAAAGAAAGTATCTTCTATTCAGATTTACGATGATGATGTTTTATAAGTATAAACAGTTCTAACATCATTTTTGTTATAGTTCAACCTGATCTTTTTTATATTTATTGGTGATATATTGTAAACATATCAGACGCATCAGTGGTTGTGCTCACCATGTTCATCTCCCAAGAGACAGTTTGTGTCCTACAAAATGTGTGAGTCACAGGTAACAGTCTGCTGGCGTTCCCCAGGGACATCCTAGCCAAGACAGCTCTTGGGCCTTACCTGTGTCAGGGTGAAGAGGTGCTGGCAATAGAAGGAAGCAGGCTCTAGTGGGCCACGCTGGGCGTAATCATCACAATGCTAAAGAACAAGAAAAAGAGCAACAGTCTTCCAAGATGTTGTTTTGGGTGTTTGTTTTTTAAAGAAACCATGGATTTGTCAGTGTCTGTTATATGAGTACTGTAAAAAGCTAACAATTAAAATGAATTGCTTGTAATATTTGGCATATTTCTGTTGTGTTCATTTGATTTGGGATTTATTATAGCACTGATCACAATTCTAATCCCCATCAAGCAATACATAGATAACTCCCATAATAGATCTTTTCCCCTCCTTTCCTTCCTCCTTTTCTCCCTCTCCCTCCCCCTCCCCCTTGCTTTCCTTTATTTAAAGGCTTGTAAACAGTTTAAATGACCATTCTGTAAAACAGCTCTGCTCCTCACAGGTGGTTGAAAGTTGGCTTTGTGCTTCACACCACCAGAGGTGGGCAGTTATGGAGCCAAACAGAACCCTTTGTTGTGTTTNTTTCATAGGGTTCTTGTGAATGCATGTAAAGCTCTCAGACAAGTGCCTGCTATGTGATAGGTGCTCTGTAATTATTGTTGGATCAGATTCTGAACAGAAGATAACTGAGACGTTGTTTTGAGTTAGTGGCAAGCTATTTACTATAAATTTCAAGGAGATATTTCATATTTAAGAGTATAGGATGTAATTGAAGCTGCCATCTGAGTTTTTCTTCTTAGTATTTTTTATGGCTACTGTTGTCAAGTTAAACATGATTTTAATACTGCAAGTGCATCTTGGCTTTTAAGTGCCTTTTACCTGCTTGTCTTCACAGAAGCCCTGCTTTTTATTACTCTTCGGGGACTGTGCTAGGTGTTTTAATGACATTGGTCTTTGTCCTGCTGCTGGTTAAAAGGTTAATTCCTAAGGTAGGTATACGATGTGCAAATGAATAAAAAATGGAAATTAGGAATTTTATAAAATTGATCAAATTAATTCACCTTGATCATTACAGTTCCTAATTCAAACTATATTTCTAGAGTGCATAAACTGGCTTTAAAATGTACCTTTTCTAGAAATTCCATTTTTATTTGTTACTATATGTAGGGCTTAAGTATTAAGCCTTGGTGATACTTTTTATTTGAGAGGCTTTTATTTTCTAAGTAATGTGTTTTTCTTATGAGTGAAGGAGGGCTGGTTGTATGCTAAGTGAAAATGTCTCTTATTTTGGCATAGCTGAAGAATCTAATGATGCTGAACCATAAGAGCTTTGAATAACAGCATTGCTGCATCTGGGGATTTCTTCGTTATTATTAGTTCCCTGGAACAGAATGCCCTGCTCTTAGTTCATGATAAAAATGTTTCAGTTACTCTGATTAAAGCTTGCAATACCAGCATTATTTTGAGATAAATTAATTCTTTAGAACAGTGCTTCTCCAACTTGAATGTACATACAAGTCACCTGAGGATCCTGCTTAAATGCAGATTCTGATTCAGGGGTCTGTGGTGAGGCCTGAAAGTCTGATTCCAGCAAGCTCCCAGGTGATGTCAAAGCTGCTGCTTCATGAACCAGTCTCACCTTTAGTGAGACTCTAGAGCAGCGGTTCTCAAACTTCCTAATGCCGTGACCCCTTAATATAGTTCCTCATGTTGTGGTGACCCTCAACCATAAAATTATTTTCGTTGCTACTCTATAACTGTANTCCTTTATTTAAAGGCTTGTAAACAGTTTAAATGACCATTCTGTAAAACAGCTCTGCTCTTCACAGGTGGTTGAAAGTTGGCTTTGTGCTTCACACCACCAGAGGTGGGCAGTTATGGAGCCAAACAGAACCCTTTGTTGTGTTTTATTACTTATGCTCGGTGCCTCACAGACGCTGACTGTTGTTAGCCGGTGGACACCCAAATGTGTGGGTGTGATGCAGTGTAGGTGGCCATGCTTAAACAATTATATCATTCAAATGTTATTTTTAAAAGGTTTTAAAACGTTTTACATATCAGAAAAAATTCTTTGTGAATTAGTTGTATAGTTTGCCAATAATACTTAGGGCTGAAATTACAGGAGAGTGTCCATCTGACATTTAGGACAATATTTGAGTTTATGACCTTTTTTAAATTTATAAATTTAAGAGATTTTAGATTTTACAAAGTTTGGGATAGATGATGGATTACATCAATATATCTAAGCATGTGGATGAGTTAAGACCCCTGAAATGATGTCAAGAAAAAGGATCTTATATTATTCTGTATGTGATTATTCCCCAGAGTTAGAGAAGTACAATTTTTTAAACCAGCTTTTTTTTTGTCCAACTGATAGAAGGATTCTGGGTATAGATAACACAATGGATGTGGAATTTTGAAGAAGCCTGCAGTGAGCAGTATTTTTAGGTGATTCCAGGAGCAAGCTGCCTTCTGAGAGACCCCACTGGGTGGCATGACGTTGATGAATTAACCATATGGACGTGACTCTTGGCCTTATTGATTCAGAGCTTTGATTTTTGTTACTGCACCATAAGACCCATCTCACATTAGCCAATTCATATAGTCTGTCCATTTAGTGATTCACAGCTAATAATGTAACTGGCATAAGGATAAAAACAATTGAAATGATAATGAGCAGCACATTTTCTCTCAGAAGATAGATCCAAGAGGGGTTAAATTGTAGTAAGAACTTTGCTTGGTGAACAGAAAGAGGAAAATGCGAGTTTGCTATATAATTCACATGTTTAATGTCATCAAACCAAAAAGCCGAACGGAAACACCCCACAACGGGACTGGTCTGCTAAAGTAATGGGATACCCAATCTGTTGGCAAAGGCTACCCCTGCCAACTTTTTCCTCTCTGTGACTGCTATTTTCCTAATCTTTTGTTATTGATCAACACCCATACCCTCTTCTAGTGGGCATGTTCTTCATTCAGATATGTTAAAATCTTGTCTTTCTCTGGTCTGGAGTCTAGTTGCCTAGTTGCATATTTTTGCTGCAATCCCTGAACGTGCTACCTTAATAGGTCGCCAGAGATTTGGGATGAGTATATTACTTACCAGGATACATCTTAGAGGTGCATTTAGTGGGATAGCTGCTCTTGTTTATTGTTTTAATAATTTAGGGAGGGGGGGATCCGTTTGTTTTTAGATTTTGTCCATTTTCCAAACAAGTGATCAAAAGGAGAAAGGGGAAGAATATCAGTATTTATTGGCGATCTATCAGGTACTATACTAGCTACTTTCTATGCCTTTTCATATGAACCTCATAACCACTCTGTAATGTATTTTAGTATTATTTCCATTTTACAGTTAAAGAAAGACTCAGAGAGGGTAAGAGAAGGTTGCTGAAGAACAAATATAGCTAGAGAGATAGAACCAGAATTTGAGCCCCAGTGTAAGGGCCCATACACTCTCTACTTCCTTATTGCCATCTTTTTTTTAAAAAAGTTAGTCAAGGAAGTGGCCCCATGGCTAATCCATTCAACAGATGACTGCATCTGTTGATGTTATGCACACGCCAATCATACGTGTCTTGTAGTTATGTATAGAGGAGATCCTAGTCCACAACAGTGCTTCTAAACTATCCGGCCATGGAAAAGTCCCCCCGCCGCCACCCAGTCCATCACACACAATACTTTTGTAAAATACGCTAAAAATAAATTAGAAAAATGAAATAATTTTTTAAAATACATACCAAATATAAGCCCAGTGAGCATGTGCTGGGATGGCATGGCAATGTCAGATTGCCTTACGTGTTTCGAAATGCTTCATTTCCATTTCGTCACACTCCAGAAATAGTTCATGGACAGCACCAGCCCAGGACCACAGGGTAACACTGGTCTAGATATTATTTTTCGAGACCCCATTGATCTTGTTAGGGAACAAAAAATTCCTGACCTTTTTTAAAATACAAGTTTACAGTTGAAAGGAATAGCACCCTCAGCTGTTGGGGAAACAGTATGACATATAATTTGTTAAATGATTATAAAGTTCTTGTTTACACTTGACACCTTTTAGATGAAAAAGAAACAGTGAGATTGTGGAACAAATGTCATAACTGCTCCCTCTCTGCGTTCTTGGCACACTGTGGAATTGTCATTGTTAGCTGACTTTTTTTCCCATTCTCTTCCACTTATGGTTTGCTTAATTTTGTCTCTTAACTAACTCATATCTCCAACCACTTAATGGTTGGAACTGAATGTTTTATTGTACAGCTTACTAGGTAGAGGTAAACACATTAAACACAGCACTATAGTTTGGGAGAGTGCATATCATAGATTTAAACATTAACCAGATACTAAGAGAGCTAGGCCCTGGTTGGGGGAAATTAGTCAGCAGTCCTCTTGCCACAGACTATTTGCCACACAACAATAATTGTGGTATTTATGGAGTGTACATTATGTGCCAGGCATGTCATTTAAACATCAAAACAACCTTTAAGCAGACACTGTAATAACATTAATTTTAGAGAGGAGGGTACTGAGGCCCAAAAAGCTTATCTATATATGTAACTTCTCACTGGCGGAGGTGAGGCTCGAAGCCAGACACTGGGACTCCAGAGCCGCCCTCCTAACCCCGGCACTATAAGATCCCTGGGTTGCCATCTAAAAGCTGGGCCCTCCTGGGAGCCACAGCGGGGCAGGTGCTGCCTTAGCCACCTGAAGCAGATGGGAGCTGAGGGAAAGTTAGGACTCATCTGGCCTGGTTCATTTCTTCCCCATCCCAAGTTTCCAGTTACTCTCTTACGCCACACTTTGTCCTGGCATAAGGTAAATTACTTTCTGATTTGAGAAACCACTCCCCCTTTCTCTCACCCCTTTATTCTGTCCCTATGCAGGCACCAACATCTCCCATCTCCCCAGTGGTTCGGAATTTTTGAGCCAGGTATTCTTAGAGCTTTGCTGAAATGATGGTGGTGGTTTAGGGCTTTAGAAGTAGCTTTGTCTTGTCCCCATATACTAAAGGACAGAAGAACTTCTGAATGGAAAATCACCTTTAATTCCCTACCGTCAGGTCTATCACAGCATGCCCTCATTTTCACAGAATAATGTTAATTTAAGGGTCTAGCTTTTCACGCTGAAGATGAGGAAACAGGCCGAGAGATCTCCCAAAGATGATTTCATCCCCTGTGCCTTCATTGTTCGATAGGGTAGCCACGAGCCACAGATGGCTGTTTAAATGAGAACGCTGATTCCTCAGGGGCACTAGCTACACTGCAGGTGCTAACAGCCACCTGCAACTAATGGCTACTATTCCAGATGGTGCTGCTCTACAAAGTCAGCCTTGGTCCCATAACTAAGCTGTGTTTGCTCCAGAATCCCATTTAGAGGGGACAGTGATAAGGACAAAATGATAATCTCATCAGCACATAACAAGCACCCAGTAACTATGGGTGTGGTTCCCCTTTTCCTGGATTCGCTACTTAACTCCAGATTGGCCATAAGAAATACTGCTTAACTAACGGTCTCAGCGCCAGCAGCAGCTCCAACCCCAGCAGTATTGAGGGAACTCAAATCAGAGGAAGCACTTAGCTAACTGCTTCGTGTGGCCAGTAAAGCAGCAATGTTCTTTCTATGAAGTGTTTAGGCTTTACATGAGGTTTACTGGCCAGTGGAGATATATGTATTATAATAATCTATTATTCTACTTAAAGCTTTGAGTATTAGTTTAATAATTACCAACTAACTACTTTGGATCCACACAAGCTCAGCACTTTGGGTAATTCACTTTTTCTACAATCATGGGGGAAATAAGTCATTAAGGCAGTGATTACCAGCCTGGGCTTTGTGACACCCCTGGGTATGTCCATGGAATCTCAAGAGGGGTTATAAAATTCTCAAATCAAAATTTAATTTGAATTCACTTTAATATTTTTTAAAATGCCACTTTGAATACAGGAAGAAAAAGTCACAAAGTCCACAAGCCCATGAATGTGTCTGCTATAAATGGCTGGAAATGACTGCATTATTGAATCAGCTCTCACAGTAAATGTTTCATTACAAAGCCCTGTTGAACTTGGTCTTATTCATTACAGAGTGAAGGATTTCTATTTGTCTGGTCACATCTTTATCATTTAAGAAATATTTAAAAATGGTATTTATTTTTATTTCAACATGTCAACTGTGCATTTCCAAAACAGCAGGCTTTTCAAAGGAATAAATCAGAACTGTAAACACAAGATACAGTATAAGTTTTTGACTTCCTACAGTCAGTTTCACAAATCCACATACTGTACATTCATAGGTGAGGTTCAGCCTATCACCCATTTCTTTATTTCTATAATTACATAAGCATAATAAATACATCTGATTTTTAAAGGTCACTTAAAATGAGTCATGATAATTTATAGTACAGTACATTTCAGTTCAAGTGCAAAAATAACTATTTGCTTAATTCTATTTCTTTCCGTTACTTTATTTTTAAGCTGTGTTCTGTGGTGAAGCTAGATATCCAAGTGTAGAATTTCTTCTCCCGGATGCAGTTTGGGGCAGAAGTATGGTATCGTGGAGAAGCCCTTACTTTACAAATGATCCTGTTTAATCAGGGTAAAGTGAGTTGCTCATTTTTAACTCTCTTCTTTCCTCTCTCGTGTGCTCACCCACAGCTATTATACGCACTATAATTGACCTTCATTCAACTAAAGCAGTGTTCCCTTTTCCGTAGCCCTGCCCCAAGGCTTCCTATTAACCTCAGCTTTCATTTTTAGCAGCAAGCTTAATGTGTGATTCACCCAGCCATTGTTCTGACAGCAGTTGTAATGTTTACAGTAGCATATCCATATCTGAACTGTCCAGTGTCTGACTGTGTCTTCAAGAGAAAGAATATACTGAGATTTGTTTCTTTAGTCATTGGAAAGTATAGTTCTTAGTCCTGTCCTTGCCATTCCTGGTTTCCCATTCAACACCTTGTCCCCTCACCAAAAAAAAAAACCAAAAACAAAAACTGATCCATTATGTAATTTTTAAAACTTGTATCCCTTTCCCAGGCACTTAAATCTTATACTGTTATTTGTAAATAGTACTGCTAAATTAAAGAAACTCTTAGGAATTCGGTGATTTTTAAAAATTCCATCAGCTAAGTAGAGCCTGAATCACTATAAAATTATAAATAGTGATACTGGCTATTTACAGTATCAATATATTTAGTAAACCCCTGTCTACCAGGCCACAGGATACTGAGTTGGTTAGTTTATTTGGAATATTCCCTCCTCTGGTCTTAAAGCCCATTTAAAACAAAAGGCATTTTTAAGCTCAGCTTAGCTTGCAGTAGGCAATAACAGCTTTTGCTCAAAGAATTGACTATTTTCATTATATACCATATTACATATAAAAATATATTTGCTAGAGATATGCCAAGTTTCTGATTAAACTTTTTCCCTTTTTTAAACAAAAGCATATACTCCTTTTATCTGCTTGCTGTGTTTAAATCTATTTTTTTAAATGGTCCTCGTTAAGAGAAACAAAATTATAAGTGTATTCTGTTTCTTCCCAGTTTGTATTAAGAACCAAATAATTTGAATAAATAATCAGAACAGGGAAGTTATATCAGTACTCACCTCGAAACACTTTCTTTCCCTCCACTTACTTAGTGTAACTGCTGGTTTCAACTCTTCTGCCCTGGCAGAGAAGTCCCGTAGACCTTAACCTAACCAACCAAAGAACAGAAAGTCCTCACTGAGCTCCATTTCCCTTCAGTGATTCCAGTGGGATTATGGAAGGTAAGCTGTTTCTGCCAATATGTACTGTAGCGCTCCTGTGTGTGTGTGTTTCCATGTTAATGAGTTCGGGTATTTAGAAGCATATATGGTGCTATGCCCCTCAGGGCGAGGCATGTCCTGGGTTTGGGACACCGCTGCCTGTGTCCTGGCAGAGGAGCCCAGTTCCATGCAGGGTGTGCGATGAGCAGGACCCTCAGTGTCCCCCAGTGGCAGGCTGAGCCTGCTGGTCCTCACACTCCTTTGCACTCTGGTCCACACTGGGGAGAACAGGGCTGTTCTGTGTCTGAGATGCTGTTGCTTGAGGGGATGGCTGGTTGCTGGATGGGTCGGAGTGAGTCTCACATGGGACAGGCTGGGCTCCACCAGCTGGAGAATCTCTCCGATTCTCACTGGTCCCCTGGAAGGAAAAAACAAGAGATGCCTCACGGTCAGTGCTAGCAAATAAATCCAAAACTCTTTATATGCTTCCCAATAAGATATAGGAAACATGGGGAGATCATCCTCAAGTGACCACTTCAGGGAACAAGTAATAGAATAAGGATGGAACGTCTTACCTTTCATCTCTTTTCCTATGTGCAACTGCCAAAGCCGCATGAAAAACACAAACACTATAAGCAGACATATCTTGTGGATAAAGGAACATTACTACCAAAATGCCTGTTACTATTAGGAAAACAGTTTACATTAACGAATATTTACTGAGTCCCCATCAGCCATTGTGGCAAAGTACTGGGCAAGCAGCATGGACTGAAACTCAGGCCACTTGCTGAGACCATAGAATGCAACAGTTGGAAGGCACCTTGTCTAACAGGAAGTAAGGCATTCTCAATCTCAGAGACAGGGCTACAAAAGAAGACCCTGAAATTTTATTAAAAGCCCTATGCATATTTGGCATTTTAAAGTATACAGTAAAAGTTAAATAAGACAGAACATCCACATAAAAAAGGGAATGTGAACAAGTACTTATGTACGCAATTGTAACTGTGAGTACACACTCCAGCAGTCACCCCATAGCATGTCTAAAATGCCACATTGCTGTATCCCATGCCACAGTCCTCATTTTTACAAATCAGGAAACATATTTTTAAAACGCATTTTCCTCTGAATTAGTACCTATCAACTTCAAGTAGCTGAGCACCAAAACAAAAAAGTTATTTCTGTGATTGATTCCAAAATGTCAAAAAAGAAATCTTACTATAATGGTTTCTTAATAAGAATAACTAAGCCATACCAGCCAGTGTTTATTAAAATTAACATACCAGAAAAAAAATTCAATGATGCTTAAGCCCGATAGGCTTCTGTGAAAATAAGGATGGGTATCCCAAGTAATGAAAACACTGCTGTTCAAGCAGGATTTGCCGTCCTGCCTTCCGCTTCACCTCCCTGCCTCACATCCGTTATGCCCCTCTCACCCTGACATCCTCCTCCCTGACTAAGCAGAGGAGTTGTGTGAGTTTATTATCTTGATAAATAAATAGGATCATGCATAGCCCAGAATGCATTATGGTTATCAATGAAGAATGAGGTTTGGTTTAAATTACAGAAATATTATATGTTAGTTTACAAAGTCATGATAAAGGTAGTTCAAATTTTCAAAAACAGAAGTTACCCAAATTACTCTTTAAGTCTTTCCCCTTTATTCTAAATTTTTTCCCTTATGTGTCTTCTAAAGCTACTCTAGGTACAGAGCTGACATGATCAAGTAAAAGGAAATGATTAACATAAACACAGGGACGTGGCCTCATTGCTTTGGCCAAACTGTTCACAGAAGTCATGCTTAATCATTTTCCAAAGGCAGAATATAGCTTTAGTTACAATTACCCACACTGTTTTATCAACATGATTTACTTGACTCAGGAGAGATCATCCCCTTGGGACTAGAAAAATTACCCTTTTTATTTTTCATGTGGGGCCACCAGCAAACCACATTTCCACTAAGATAGGTGTTATTAGTAGACCTATACAGTGGCTCAGGGTACTCATTAATTCATCAGATATTTATTAAGATCCCCACTAGAATTTTAGAATTATATAGATTAGTGCCTCAAAGCAAGAACCATATATTCTTGCTTTGCAACCGCAACTGGTATCTTGACAACACTGAAATTTTAAAGAAATATACAAAATTAGAATAGACACATTTTCTTTCTTTCAAGAAGTGTTGTCTTCTCTGTGAAACCTTCCTCAACTCCATAAGGCCGAATTCTCCCTCTAATGAATCTTGTATACACCTCTGTAATGCACTTGTCACAGAGTACTGAAATTATTTGTCTGCATGTTTGTTTCCCCCACTAGACCTTCCATAATCTTGTTGAGTGAATAGCTGAATAATTGAAACACTGAGCACACTTAAGGTGGGCCGGCAGAGGAATTTTACCTGTAAAGGCTGTATCTCAGAAGCATGGTTGTCTCTTGTTAGCAGTATCATCTCTTTAATTTGGTAGAGTGCGTAGACAAAGGTCACCCAGGGAGAGGAACTGACCCCCCAGGCTGGCTTGTTCACATCCTCCTGTTCTTCCTGGTGCTTGGTTTTCTTGGGTGGAAGTCTGGGCTCAATGCGTGGCATGATGTCTTCTGTCTGTTGCTGTACCAAGTCGATGGTTGCTATGGGAACAGGACTTGATGGAACAGGAATCCTTTCTGCCAACATTGACTTGTCTGGAGAGAAAATCATGTTTGAATCATTTTTGAGTTTTCTACACATTTAAACAAACATAAAAATAAACAACTAAATAAGCATATAATCCCACGAGCCCATATAATCACATGTTTATTAACGTGTTCTTGGCAACATTAATAAATTGCTGTATACCAAGGGCTTCTTCTTTACTTGGTGCAAGTACTGAGCAAGTGAACATGAGGTTTCTCTTCCAGGGTCTCTTTACAGGGCTTAATACACATTAACTAACATTTATTTATAAAATGTATTGTTCATTTAACTTAGCTATTAACATCTGTGGGGCAAAGGTTTCAGTGAATGTTGCCTTAGGTCCACTTACAGGATGAGATTTTAAAGATAAACATCAAAACAGGAAAAGCCAAGTGATAGCTGGTTTTATTGGCCTTTAACTGAAGGCTTGGAGATGAGGCTGTGTAAGAGATATGATCCAATTAAGATTATAAAAGAACAAGAGTGAGAAAAGTCAGCATTGGTCTTACTTGCTAAGTAACTTGTTGGGATTAAAATCTGTCTCTGGGGTTTCTGTAACGAGCTTGTTTTCCTAACAAAAGTATTTCAGGTACTTGAGGCAAACGCCACTCAAAGGACAGGACACAAAATAAGATGAGCTCCATTCTGGAACCTGAGACCTGAGCAGGAATATTTCTGTTCTACTGGTTGCTCTTCTTCATAAAACAAAACAAAACAAAAAATTTAAAAAGAGTTGAAAATTTGTTCTCATCTAAACATTATATTTGATATAATCTTCTTTGTCTATAACAACTTTAATGAAGGCCAAACCTAATTGATGGAAAACTTCAAATTTAAGATTTAGACATTTTTTTCAAAGGAAGGTAAAAGCATGGAGATTAATACTACTTCCTATCTCTAGTAGATAAATTACTATATAGACTATTTAATTTAAATTTTAAATCCCTTTAGAATACCAGAGAAATTTAAAACCAATACTTCCCCTAGTACCTTGTACCATAAACCAAAACAAGAATATCCCAAGCTATGTAAGACAACTAATATTCTTTTCAACACAGTAGGTAGCTTCTCTTGCACAACAGTATGCATGAGTCCACTGATACCACCAGAGAAAATCAAGCCAAGCAGGTCTGTTGTACGCTCTGTCACCACCTCTGGTTTCTGAAGGGTATGCATGAAATTCCCCATGGCTTCAAGCTCTCCAACCACTAAGAAAGAATGGGTATGTTTACCTTCTTCCTCATCTGGCACTGCCAGCCACTGGATCAGGGCAAAGAGCAGGAGGATGACCAGGCAGGCCATGCCGATTCCTCGGAAGGTTGCAGCAGCCCCTGGAAAACAAACAGAGCTCTCTATAGAGGGATTCCAGGAAATGCAGGTAGCGTTCTTCCAAAACGGTCAATGTGCTCAAGTTCAGGACAAGGGCAGCAGAGCTTGGGATGATCAGAGAATGGCAAATGGCCAGCTTCATAGAGTGCAAAATGCATATGGCTGGGTGGGTGTCAGGAGACCCAGGTGCTGCTATTGGATGTGTCATTGGTCAAATTTTAAAACTGCATTTATAAAGGACTCTATCTGGGTGCCTTTCACCATAAAAGTCAATGGTGCTCTCTTTTTCATAAAGAACATTTACCTAACTATTAAACAGCTCTACTAATTGTGTAGTTGGAGCAGCAGAGTTCAAATAGTGCTATATAAATTCAGACATCCCTGGGCCCACCTTCCACAGATCCTAGAGCAGAATAACCTCATCTTCACCTCAGCCCCTGTAATTCCTATAAGGGAGATCTGACAGGGCCCACAGACTGTTGTCATGGATGTAGTGACATTACCAAGGCCAGCATATCGTTTGATTTTTCTGGCCCCGGATCTCATGCTGGAATAACAGTGATGGGTTTTCTTTCCTCTAGCATTATTATCAGCAGGTTTAGGGTAGTTTACTTCAAAGCAAAAGTCCATGTGCTTATTTATTCGTTTATCTGGCTCCTTTAAGATATCTGTAGCATCTATCTCAGCTATTCATCAGAAAAGTGTGCATGGTTACAGGCAGGCTGTAATCACCTTAACACCCGAAGCACACTGCTTTACAATTATGACTACCATGAAAGCTAGAAAGAGAATATGACTACTGGAGTTTAGCTGCTGGCAATCTTCAGTAACAATCCGAGTGCTTGTTACAGTGTTGCTGAAAAATCATAAGTTTTTGTCAAAGTTGAGAAAGGGAAAAAAGAGAAAGCCGTTCTTACCAAAATAATTGACTAACACACCCCCGATCATGGCACCACAGCCTCTGCCCAAACCCAGGTGAAGGCCCTGCAGGATGCCCTGAGCAGACGTCCTCAGCTCAGGGGGAACGGCTGCGCTGAGATACGAGATGCAGGCTGCCCAGATGGCCGCGTGTGTCACCCCTGAGGAGGAAGAAGAGCAGGAAGGACAGTCTCATCAGCACTCCTAGGCTATGCTTTTCTTCCAACACGAGTTGTTCATTTAAAATACATGTATATATACACATATATCTATAAAATAAGGAGATTTATTTATTTATGGTAAAATATACATAACATAAAATTTACCATTTTAACTTCTTTTTTTTTAATTGGGGAACAGTGTGTTTTTCCAGGATCCATCAGCTCCAAGTCAAGTAGTTTCAATGTAGTTGTGGAGGCCACAGCTCAGTGGCCCATGTGGGGGTTGAACCGGCAACCTTGGTGTCATGAGCACTGCATTCTAACCAACTGAGCTAACCGGCCACCCCCTTAACCATTTTTAAGTGTGTACTTTAATGGCATTAAGTACATTCACAATGTTCTGCAACTATCACCACCATCCATCTCCAGAACTTTTTTATCATCCCAAACTGAAACTTGATCCATTAAACAATAACTTCCCCAAGGCTCTGGGAACCACTATTCTACTTTGTTTCTATGAATTTGAGTACCCTAGGTGCCTAAGTTAAATCATACAGTATTTGTCCTTTTGTGTTTGGCTAATTTCACTTAGCTTAATGTCCTCAAAATTCATCCATGTTTCAGTATGTGTCCGAATGCTTCCTTTTTAAGGCTAATATCCCATTATATGTAGATAACACATTTTTATCCATTCATCTATTGATGGACATTTGAGTTGTTTCTACCTGGTGGCTAGTATGTGAATGCTGCTGCTGTGAAAACTGGTGTGCAAGTTATCTGTTTCAGTCCCTGCTGTCCGTTCTTTTGGGTATATACCTCCACATGGAATTAACAGGTCATATGGGTAATAGTATATTTAACACTTTGAGGAACTGCCTGTTTTCCACAGTAGCTGCACCATTTTACATCCCCACCAGAAATGTACAAGAGTTCCAATTTCCCCACATCCTCACCAGTACTTATTTTCCATGTTTTTTATAATAACAATCCTAATGGGTATGAAGGGTATCTCAGTATAGTTTTGATTTGCATTCCTTAATGACTAGTGTGAGGCCGAGCATCTTTTTTATTTTTGTGTTTACTGGCCATTTGTATATCTTTTCTGGAGAAATGCCTATTCAGATCCTTTGCCCATTTTTAAACTGAGTTGTTAGGTTTGTTTTTGTTTTGTTTTGTTGTTTTGGCTGTTGTGTCGTAGGAGTTCTTTATATATTTTGTGTATTAACCTCTTATTGGGCACCCATTTTGACATTGATTAGTTCCAATTTTTTCCATTATATTTATCACAATGATTAACATTGTTGGAGATACAGCTTTTTTCATATCTTAGATTATTTACATTGGCTATAATTCTACAAGTGGGGTTAATGATTCAAAGGATATCGTGATTTTTATGCTTTTTAATATATAGTTCAAATTTTTTTTCCAGAAGAGTGTAGAGACCATTTACAATGATTCATTACCAGTTTCATTATTTCTTCATCATTTATTAGGAGGGAGGGAAGGATAAAGGTAGCAGTTATTTTAATGTATAGTAACTGTGCGTTGTCTGAATTTAAATCTTTATTAGAGCACTGCTTTAATATAATAAAAAGATAATGACACAAGATATATAGGAAGTAAAGAGAAAGGAATCTAAACAACACTGCAGAAAGTCATCAGCATCCAAGAAAAGACAGCCAGAAGATAAGAGAAAGAAGAGCTACAAAAACAATCAGAAAACAATGAAATGTCAATAACTACGTACCTACGAATAATCGCTTAAATGGATCAAATGCTTCAATCATCAGATGAATGGATAAAGAAGATGCGGTACATATATACAGTGAAGTACTAGTCATAAAAAAGAATGAAATCTTACCATTTGTGACAACATGGAAGGACCTGGAGGGTATTATGCTAAGTGAATAAGTCAGACAAAGACAAATAGCATATAATTTCACTTTTATGTGGAATCTAAAAAAATAAACAAAATAAACAGACTCATAGATACAGAGAACACACTGATGGTTGCCAGGTGGGAGTGGGGTTGAGGGATGGGTGAAAAAGGTGAAGGGATTAAGAAGTACAAATTGGCAGTTACAACCTAGTCATGGATTTGTAAAGTACAGCATAGGGAATATAGTTAACTGTAATAACTATATAAGGTGTCAGGTGGGTGCAAGACTTATCGAGGGGAATGCTTCGTAAATTCTATAAATGTTTAACCACTATGCTATACATCTGAAACTAATATAATACTGAATGTCAACTGTGATTGAAAAAAAAAAAGGAAACATCTTAAGTGAGATACTTAACCCTATTGGATTTCAATTTCAAAAAATTATAAAGCAAACAAAAGATAATGACACAACAGATTTTATAAATGGAAGGGATTAAGAAATCATCTGGTTCTGCCTAGATTTGTCATGGACTTGCTCCCTGAAAAATCTCATTTGGAGATAATATCATCAGAAACTCTTAACCTATGTTTTGGAAAATTAAACTAAAAGATGAATATAAATTTAAGATTTAATCTGACATTAGTCTGCTTCTGGCCAAAATGGAATTAACAGGGACTGGATTTACCCTTCTTCCTGAAACAACCAAAACCTGGACAAAATATTAATCTATGAAACAGTAGTTCCCAAGACACAGGACATGAGCAACAAGGACAGTGATCTCAGAGAGACAGGAAATAAACAAGGAGCCCTAGTTTACTGCCTGGTTAGAGTTTGAAAGCTGCAAGGCATAGAGGGGGATCCACTGAGTTGAGGAGATGGAGCTGTCAGTCTGGGGAGACTACAGCAGCTAGAGTTTCAGGGGAGAGTACCAGAGAGGAGAGAGCTTCACAGAGAAAGACTCCAGGAATCTGCACATGATTTCCCGCAACATTCAGCTGAGTACTGAGCAGCAAAAGCATGTGTAGGAACTCTGCAAAGCCAGGGAAAGAACTACCGGAAGCATTACAGAAACAGTACTCAGAACCCATAGGGGCCAGGAATAGTACTGGTTTCATCGGCCAAACTGGAAAAACTCATGATTCCTGAGATTGGCAGAGTACTTAAAAGGGTCCTGTGTTAGTACTGTGAAAGAATTAACCCTAGTCTAAACACTGCTCTGGTCCCACCTAAGTAATCTTTGAAAGCAAGACCTTAAAGGATTGTACTGTTTCTAAGTAATTAACTGTGTCCCAGAACAAAGCTCAAGAATATTTATAGGCATACAAAGATATCGGGCACCCAACAAGGTAAAAATTCACAATGTCTGACAAACAATCAAATTACCAGGGATGAGCTTAAGTAGATTTCCATAATGGAATAAATATAATTTTTACTGGTCACATTAGATTATATGCCCTATACTTAACTGAGAAACAAAATAATTTTTCTTAAGCTTACATATGTTTCAGTAATCATTTCAACTAGGTTATTTTTTAACTAGAAATATGCACTAGATGATTAGAGGTACTATGCACACTTACTTAATTTTCAGAGAAGTAAAAAATAAATATATTTGCTTTGTCTGGCTAAACAATTTCAGTACCTTAGATAATGTCGGCTTTCTCAGAACTGCCCAAAGACACAGCTTTTAGGTTGGGGAGCTGGAATACAACGTAGTCTAATTCAAGCTTAAGCACTTTATGGTTCCAGATTATTGCATATTTTGGTTTAAGTTGCCTCAAATAATTATAGAGAGCATAAATAAATGATTAAAATACATTTTTACATATGTGCAGTGGATGGCAGGATCGTATCTTAGGAAAAAAGCTATCTTATTAAAGGTGCAACTTTCAAATTTAGTTTTCAAATTTTCTTCACATATTTATCAGTTTTTGAGATAGAACTTCCTGTGTTACTCACAAGCTTTAAAAATTAGAAAATAGAGACAGACTATAGTATATTTTGCAGGGGACTGTGAAATCAATCAAACAATCAAATCATTTATAGTATATCTTTCTATGTGCATGTCCCTTGGAGAATTCAAAAAGTATAAGGTACAGTCTTTACATTTAAGTGTTAAAACTAATTCAGGAAGGCAAACTAGTATTTGTAAAATAATTGGACAGCAATTAAGGGCTAAACTGTGTAACACAGTCCATAAATTTGAGAACAATTCAGAAAAGGAAGAGCTAAGTGAGATGCAATTGCCAGAAAAGGATCCTTGAAGCAGACGACATTTAAAATGAATTCTAAAAGGACAAAATGTCTATTTTAAAAAATGGTTCTATAAGTACTTTTAGTAACTTTTAGCATGGGAGTGACAAATAATAAAATTGCTCTATTATAATTTATAAGACGATTCCAATTAAAACTTAATTTTAGGGATGGCCGGTTGGCTCAGGTGGTTAGAGAGCAGGGCGCAGTGCTCATAACACCAAGGTTGCCGGTTTGAGTCCCACTTGGGCCACTGAGTTGCGCCCTCCACAACTAGATTGAAACAACTGATTGACTTGGAGCTGATGGGTCCTGGTAAACATACTGTTCCCCAGTAAAATTTAAAAAAACACACATTAATTTTAACAGTGACACAAATTACTTTCATATGCCAATTTGTCAATTAAAATGCTAAACTTGGAGCATTTGTCTATCTTACATACTCATATGGCAAGCTATTTGTGTTTTAAGCTAGACAGAAAATTTCCAATATGGATGATAGACTAGAATCATGTTCCAAATTTCCACTGTCAGATAAGGGCATCATAGTAATCCTTTCATAATTTTTCCCTGTTCTTCCAGACCATAAGAGGAAGGCTTCTTATATGCTTCTTACTCAGCTGAATAGGCATACTAAATAAGAGAGAAAAGCTTCGTAAATGTCAGTTCAAGCCTTCCTACTGGAGATATTATAAAACCATCTTTCATCAAAATCTTAATCTGGCTCCTACTGATCAAGCATCCTGCAGAGAAAGACCTGACACAGTCCTCATTTTCACCCTAAAGTACTTGAGCCATTAATTCAAGCACCTCAAAAGGACCTCTTTAGTGACAACAGCCCAGGGCTGGCCTTACTCTCTCCTTAAATACATTTTAATAGCAAGATCTCAAAGTTTTGCAAGGGTTCACAACCAATACCCACATAGGAAAGAGCATAACAAATCTGGGCTTGATTTTTATCAAAAGTGTACACTACTGATCACAATCAGGAATGTTTAAATGCTTCTTGTACAAAAGTAAAGGAGAAAATTCCTATGGGTTTTAAAAATGAGATCTTGAGAAATAAATATCAACTATCCCACCTTGTCCACCCCACCCATATCAACTTGTCTCCTCCCCTTCAGTTGCCCACTAGGTGGTATGAGTTCTCATGGTATTTGGGGATGAGGTGAGGGGTGATAGGATGAAGAGATAGACTTCACTTCTATCTTTTAAGAAACCCGTCTCATGTGGCACTGGTTGGGAATCGAAGAATGGAAGTGCTGACTGTTCAGTGTCAGGTTTGTCAAGATGACTGATGAGAGCCAACATCCCACTCTCAACCCCTCCCCCTCCGAAGACCAGGTCTTTGGTAATGAGCAGGGAACAATTCCAGCTAAGGGATTAAGGGGCATCTATCATGACAGTGGGCTTGTCCTGTAATTAAATCATTCAGTGTTTCATCATCATCATGTCTCGTCTTTACTGTGTCCTAAGGAGAGCTGCCTTAAGCACAGGGGCTTTAAAGTCATTTGGACAAGCCTTGTAGGTGGAAGAACCCAGACTGGTAAAACAAACCTTTTCAGTCAGAAATATGTTCCTGTGATGCAGGATTTATTCCACATGGATGATTTACTATTTTCTGTGGGGTGAGCATGGGTCAAACAAAGGCAAGGGATCTGGGTTTTGTTGTACAACCAAAATACTCAGCACTCACTTCTGCCAGAGAATGAAACCATCTTCTCCAGTTTTAGACACAGAGCTCTGTGGAACTGGTCACAGAACCCTCTGTCAGACAAGGAGAGCCCGTGTTTATAGATCCCTTTTTCCACGTGCTTCACATCAGTAACTAGGTTTCTACTGGCGCAGGGGGGAATAAAATGAAGCACACAGTATAAATTGTGGGCTGCCACAGGAAGCAGAATTCCTGTTTAGGTTCAGAACATGGCCAGTTCCCTAAATCCTGGGCTAACTGCTCTTAGATACACATAAGGATTATAAAACGATGTCCTGGATCGAAAGCTTGCAATGATAAAGCTGGTAAGCCCCAGCTTACCACTTAGATTCCCTGACGGTGCCACTTCTGAGCTTTGGCACATGGCCCTTCTCTATGCCAAAATGCCTGCTCTCTTTAGGCCACCTGCTGGATTCCTAGTCACCCTTCCAAATCCAGCTCATAGGTGATTTCCTTGGGGAACCTTTCAATAGTATCTTCATCCTCCCACTCCTTGATTCACAAAGCTAATCATTCCTTCCACGGACCTCCTTCTCTGCTACCTGGCACATTTTTCTGATTCCATCTAACACACTATATAGTAATTATGTGTGTACACATATGGTTTCCAGAACAGATGGTGAGACCTTGAGGCCTAAGTTAATATATGTTTTTTTTTTATTATTACATTCCCAGCACCCAGCATGCTGCCTGATTCTTAGTAGCTATTTAATATATCTTGGATAAATCAACAGGAAAAAAGTTTTGGGATTCACAACAGCATTTGTTTTTTTTTTCCTTCTTATAAAATTCTTTTGTTCCTTTAACCATTTCATAAAAAGGCTTCTCTCTTTTGCTCTGTTTTCTTGAGTAACTTAAGCAAACTGTCCATTTTCAGCTTCATATTAAATTAACAGGGGAAAAAACATATGCCTATATTATTACAACATACTTTCTTCTTTGTAGACATACCAGTTTGTTTGTTATTTTTATAGATTCTACACACTGGCATAGCAATACAGCAGTTAAGTCAGGAGAGAATCCTACCTCACAGAACAGAATAGGAATGAGAGGTAGGAAATCGTAAGAACTGTGTTGCATATATGAGGTGTGATCAAACAATACAGTGAATGTTTAAATAAAATTTATTACAGTAAAAAACACATTGCAATTAATCTTCCTCAAAATACTCCCCCTCGCTTTGAACACACTTATCCCATTGTTCTTGCCACTTTCTGAAGCAGTTCTGGAAGTCTTCTTTCATGAGTGTCTTTACTTCATCCTCTATCATGACAATATTCCATGTCACACATCGCTTCTGGTATGGCAGTTTCTGTCAAAGACATTATGATGTGTCCTCATCCACTTTATTCACTGGATCTGGCACTTTGCAACTTCTGGCTCTTCCCCAAAATCAAAATGACCATGAAAGGTCAACATTTTGAATTGATTCAGGACATCAAGGCAGCCACGACAGTGCAATTAAAGACATTCATGAAAGAGGACTTCCAGAACTGTTTCAGAAAGTGGCAACAATGATGGGATAAGTGTGTTCGAAGTGAGGGGGGAGTATTTTGAGGAGGATTAATGGCAATGTGTCTTTTACTGTAATAAATTTTGTTATTTAAACATTCACCGTATTGTTTGATCACACCTCGTGTTTTGTTATTGCATAATTCTTTCCTGTAGTTCATATTTAGTACTTTGTTATTCTTAAATGATATAATGGTGAGATGTGTACCCTACCTCAATGCTCTTCCAGAGTTCTAATTATTACAAACAATAATTTATTGTAAGACCAAATTTCCATTTTCTATAAATTTATCAACAAAAATCATGTTTCACCAATTACACCATTGCATCAGACCTGAGAAAAGCACCTTTAAAGTGTGTATATATTTGAATTTTAGAATTATAATGTGAATTTAAATTATATCTCCTTTCAATTAGGATAGGTTTTTCTTCCCCCATTGCCACCATGGGATGTGATGAAGGAGCTTGCATTTTGTTTAGATGTATAATTGTGAACCTTTCATCTTAGATATCATGACAAGAAATTAATTACGTTGACTATGTTGCATCTGCATCCTCTGGGTTGGGGAAAATGATAATGGCAATCTATAAAGCTAATGAAATTGTGTATGATCACAGACTATATTTAGTACAATTAATGACTTAGAAGCCTGGGCTGTCCCAGAAGACTTCACCTCCTGTGACCTTGTCCTGAACCTTTATTGTAATCATAATGCCAACCAACAAATGGTTTCTCCATGCTGCTAACACGGGTGTTTAGGATATACCTAAATGGTTTGCAAGCATAATTCGTTCCAGAAACAAACTACTCGTATTGCAAGACATCGTTCATTTACCAAGTTAAAATGTATTAGGAATGTTTGCTCATCTTGCGGAACACTCACAATCCAAGGTTTTACTGTAGTTTGGATTATATGAGCTAACATTGCAATGCGCTTACAACAGATATCCGTGTTTTCAGTGCTCTTAAGCTACATTGCAAGAGCCTCCTGGGAATTTTTTTCATAGTTATATGTTGACAGAAAACAGTGCACTGAATTAAAGAGAACTCAGGTCAGTATATTTGAGCAAAGATTTAAAGGGAAAACAGTAGCCTGACTATAGTTATAAATCACTAGATGTGATTAAAAAATAACTGATGGTATAAAATAAATATGACAACCTTTTTCATTAAGTGTAGTTATACCTACAAAAGCAAAACACCAAAGTCGTTAAAAGATAAATCCATTATATTTAAAACCACCTTTGGCTATGCATGCCTCACAGTTGTTCATAAGAGTTTATTCTAGAGTTCTCTCTCTTTGTTTAATTATAAGGGTGTGGGTCAAATCCAGCTTTGGCTCAACACACACAAGACAGCATTCAGAATAACTGAAGAACCAGCCCTCCTGATGTCACCTCTTCCTTAACAACCATTTTAAAATCAGATAAAACAGTAGGTCCACCCTTCCTTTGTAGAGTCAGATGCTCAATGACAGCCACTGAACTTTTACATAGTCATAGCTCAGTTAGAGAGAAAAATAATTCTAATTCCAGATGTTAACTTACCTTGAAGGACTTCCATGGGGAGAACAGTCCAGGCATTTTCCAGATAGGAAATATAAATATAGCGAGCTGTATTACAGGCCAGGCCAATATACAGAACCCTGAAGAAAGCAAAGGAAAATAAGATGAGATCACAGTACAAGATACAAAACATGCAATTACTACCCATATTTTCCCTGCTCAAACCATCCATCATCCAGCAGACTGTGTTCCATACTGAAGAGTGGGGAAGCGAAAGGATGAGTAAATTGAACCATGAACTCTTAGGAATAAGAAGAGTGCTTCTAACATATCTGCCCTCAGCCTTTCAAAATGCCTGTTAATATAAAAGTGAACAACACCCTTCCTGAAACTTAATTAGTAGCGAGACAATGCTTTTTTAGATAGTCTGGGCATGCTGCCATCTGTAATGACATTGCTGGCTTCCTCCCAGGTGGCTGTAGGGTAAATATGCCTGGGAGTGTAGCCACTTTGCTATGATAGGGGAAGGACAGGATAAAAATGAGAACATGCGAATATGAATGTGGCCTCGCTTACAGTACCCAAGACACCAAGTAGTTTCACAAGGAGACTCTCAAGGTCATCAAAAACTATCATCCAGCGATGAATAATAAACTGTTTGGCAATCAAATACTTTTTTTTTAATTACTTCGATTGATATAGTATATATATTTTTTTTTTTAGAAAAAGCATGAAATCATATGCTAGCTTTCCCCATCACAACACTACTACCAAAATTTTGAGTGAAAACAAAATAAATGAAGGCCCAAAGTAGTGCATCCAAGCATAAGGTTATGATCTCTTTCATACTGAACTGGACAGGCTGGTTTGGAAACAAATGGTAGCTGCTTCTCTGTACAAAAAACAACCAGATGGTAGGGATTTCTCCTTCTTGATTGTTTTCCATTTTCTGTTAATTTTCCTAACCTAAATGCTTTCCTTGTTTTCTAAATTCAAGTGGATGAAAACTAGAAGGTAAAAGACATAAATCAATATGAGAATCAGTGATATTTTCCTAATCTTACTCAACTGTATTTTTATATTAAAATCATTCCTATAAATATTCTTTTTCCAAAACTGGATCAAAGAAAGGAAATGCTTTGAGGCTTCATGCTGGTATTAACTACAAACATGCAACCAAAGTATGGGGGAAAGACAGAAAAAGGGTTGAGGGGGTAGGAATGGGATAGGAAATGGATATTAGAAGGGATTTAGGAGAGCCTCAGTATTGAAAAGGTCTGGGTTATAGTCTGTGGACATTACGTTCTTTGTACTTGCATGTTTAGAGGGAAAAAGTGTATGTTTCAGTCCTCTTTGATAAAAAAAATTGTTGAACCAACTTGCTACAGATCCATCAACCAGGGTCTTTCTGCTAGGAAACAAACAACAAAAGCCCACAGGAAATTAAAATGTAACATACACTACACAAACAAGTTATGTAAACCTATGTCTCCTTTTAAGTTCTAAACCAGCTCTGTTGATGAGCTCAATTTAGCCTAACTCAGGGATCAGCAAACATTTTCTATTAAGGGCCATACAGTAAATAGTGTAAGCTTTGTAGGTCTCTTGCAACTACTCAACTCTGCTGTTGCAGCATGAAAGCAACCATAGACAATATGCAAATAAATCAGCATGGATGGCTGTGCTCCAGTAAAATATGAATTATGAACACTGAAATTTAAATTTCATATAATTTTCATGTGATTTTTTCCAACCACTTAAAAGTATAGAAACTATTCTTAGTTCATGAGCCATAGAAAAATAGAGAGTAAGCCAGATTTGGTCCATGGGACACAGCTTGCCAACCCCTGGCCTAGCTCACTAGTTCTTTTTAATTTTGGCTGTATATCAGATTTACTCAGGTAACTTAAAAACTACCAATGTCGAGGCCCAAACCACTCTCAATGAATCTCTCTCGGGCTGGCACCCAGGCATTGTGGTTTTGAAAGCTCCCAGGTTATTCAGATACTCAGCCAGGGTGGACAACCAATGGTCTAGCTCATTCCAAGCAGCTCACAGTGATACTTTTCCATACTCCATCCTAAAAAAAGTTTAGTAATCCATCTTCCTTGTGTTCATATCGCCTATCCATACCCTTTCTTTTAAGCCCACCTCTGAATTACCATGACAACTGTTATTCAATCCAGCCCATAGTCCAAAGATCCTGGCCTAAATTAACCCTGAGTCAATCAGCCCAGTGTAAGAGGTATATTGTACTATGCCTTCCAACCTCCACGCATGTGGAATTCAGTCATTGGAGTCCATAACTTCTGGGACCCTTAAGTTTCAAATTGCCACCAACAAGCCAAGTATCTATGACCTTGATAGGTACTTCGCTTTTTTCCCACATTCTAATCTCACAATTGATAGTTCTTCAGGACCCAACAGGTGCCTTAAAGGAGAAAAAGCAAAATAAGAAGTACAGTAAAACCTTGGATTGCGAGTAACTTGGTTTGTGAGTGTTCCACAAGATGAGCAAACATTTCTAATAGATTTTAACTTGGTAAATGAGTGATTTCTTGCAATACGAGTAGTTTGTTTCTGGAACAAATTATGCTCACAAACCAAGGTATTATTGTATCTAGAGCAAGCTACTGTATCTCTCTCAGCCTCAGTTTCCTCATGTATCAAGTACGGATAATAACATCTACTCTGCAGGCTTGTTGTGATAATTTACAACCCCAAATAAGCACTCAATAAATGGTAGCCTCATTTTATTATTATTATTATTATTATTATTATTATTATTATATTATTATTATTTTAAAGAAGAGAAACCAAGTACCCTTTTGTTTTTGACAACACTTTTATTCCAGAATTCCAAAAGAGAGAGGAAAGCTACATTCCTTCCTATCCTACTATTCTGGGGAAGCCAGTGACTTCAAGAAATCAGCAAAGGTAAGATTATGTGCAGAAAGGAAGGCAGCATTTTGATGTATGAAACGGAAAAGAAAGTAGACATGTATTTATTGGATAGTCACTGAAAATATCTCAGCAACCTAAGGATCTTTTTGGAATATGTAAACTGCCATATTATCCACTGTTCTGGGCTGAATTGTGTGTCCTCCTCCCCTCACGCCAAATTCATATGTTGAAGTCGTAAGTCCTAAACTCTAGCACCTGAGAGTGTATTTGGAGACAGGGCCTTTTTTTGAAGAGGTAATGATGGTAAAATGATGTCATATGGGTGGGCTTTGATCCAATACGACTGGTGTCCTAAGACGAAGAGGAGATTAGGACACAGACACACGGGGAAGACCAGGTGGAAACACTGGACTAAGACAAGCCAAGGACAGAGGTCCTCAGAAGACATAAACCCTACTGAGATCTTGACCTTGGACTTTTAGCTTCCAGAACTGTGAGGAAATAAATTTCTGGGGGATTTTAAGCCATCAAGTCTGTGGTGCATTGTTATAGCAGCCTTGGCAAACAAATACATTCACTCCCATGAAATTAAGGATTTGCTAATAAAATGGAATTTATAATACGTTTTACTAAATCATCTTCTGAACAATCAAATTCTTTATGTTGACTCTAGAGCACATGTCCTAGAATTTTCCTGGCCACTATGAGGTCTAGAAACACAGAAGAATAGCCTGAAAAATGCCTCTCTGTCAGATACAGATACATACTGAACTCCTATAATGAAAAAGCTCGGAGACAACATCATCACTTTCCTATTTCACAACAGAAAGTCAGTAAGTATAAAAGTAGGCAAGAAATAAATGCAATTTTAGAACAGCTGGTTGGTGTAAGCGAGCTCATCTATAAAGAGGAGCACAACTGGTAGGGAGCAAATGATTCAGCAGAAAACACTGCATGTGGGAACCGCAAATCACTGGTCAAACACCTTGAATCTATATTGGAGCAAAATATAGCAGTAAGAGAAAAATGTTGATGATTCTAATTTATACAACCACAATCACAGGACACAATAGACAGGACAAATTGACTGATGGTAGTCTTATAATAAAACTGGTACTTTTTTCCTTCTAGACAGACGGTACTCAAATATAGATACAATTAATTGTCAATCATTCTGCAATTCCTAACACAGTGTAGGTTGCTGATGATGCCCTACTTTTCTAATTTTAACCATCTGTAATATGGCTGAATACTCTAAGAACCCCTCTAAAACACAATGAACATGAATTTTGCTCAACAAACATTGAGATACCACTATATACCCTCAAAGGGAATAAAAATCCTCTTTACCTTCAAGGAACTTACAGTCTTGTGGGGAGACAGACATATAAGCAAATAAGTTAAAATATAATACTCTAAGAGGTGTGCAGAGGCCCTTAGCTCTCCCCATGGGGATTCAGGGACACCTGGGTTAGAACGGAACAAAAAAGGTGGGGAGAGCCTAACAGGCAGAGGGAACAGTGGGAACAAGGGTTAGCCATAAAACCCCAAGTGTTTGCAGACAGAGAGGGTATTGAAAGATACAAAAAGGATCAAAGTCTAAGGATTTATGAAAAGATGAGTGAACTCTTCCAGTCCAGATCCAATCTGGAAATTATTCTTTATTCCAGAGCCAACAGGGTATGAGAGCAAAGAAAGACCTGAGCAGGTTGCCCTACAGTGCTCAGGTCTGAGACAGAGAGCACCCCACCAAGAGAACCATCTCAGCCCAATCAGGAACTGGCAGCAGGCATTTTGCAAGGCCTCTGCTGGAGAAACATAAAAGTTCCTCAAAAAAACCAAAAACCCAAAAAACAAAAAAGCCACACCACTAGATAAAAACAAAATACCCTGGATGAAGATTGTTTTTATCATTTGGAAGTGGAGTACTTACAGCTAGCGTGAAAATTCTCTGTAATTTGCATTACAAGCCCTCACACAAAGATGCACGGATTCCAGTGCACACAAGTGTTGCTCAGAGGCATGGTGGGGGATGAAGATAGACTAGCAATAAACCAAGATTCAGAAAGCAACATTCCAAATAGGTTATAGACCACTCAAATTCCTTAGCTACACCTGGCTAGTTTTCACCAGTTCCTTATGAGAAAGATTGGTCCTTAATACCAGACACTTGTAACACAGTCTACAGTCGACCTCATGTAGAAAGCACGTGAGGTTTTCTGAATGGTAAACAGTATGTCTCTCTCTTAGGTTAGGTTCCATATCATTCCCAGGTCATCCTTTTATGGTCTATATAAAGTTGTCATTTAAAAAAACTCCTTCAGGTATTGTTACAGATGTCTTTCCAGACCAGGCAGACATCAGCTGCTATTGATAATTATAGTCAAGAGTCTGGTGTTTGATGTAAGCATTCAATGTCATCAGTGCCATCCTCCCCAAATGAAGCTATTTCCAGCATAATCACTGATTCATACTGATGACCTTAGTAAA